CCAGGGCCAGCGTCGCCCAGCAGATAGAGGCCATCCTCACACAGCTGAAGCCATGATGCACTCCACTCCCATACACACGAACACATGCTACAATACCACTCCTGCAGGCATACGTGTCGTCCTTAAACTGTATGAATACGACTCAAACTGTGGATGAGTCAAATGCCTTAAAACAATCTTGTTTTCCTAGAGCCCATTGTAACCTGCTAATAGCCCTGTGAGACGATAAGTCACTTTGGCTTTCATTTTTTGTTACATTTGAATGGTGCTGTCAATATCAAGATGTCATGAGAAAGAAACAACATATTTTGATAGCGTCACGGTGAGCCTTGCACCAGCACATGTCAAATGGCTTGTCGGAACTACTCAACTCCTACACACAAGGTAAAAATGTTTATACGGTACATGCGCTGCGTAGAGCATCCGTTGCATTTCAATCTAGATTTTTAGAGCTGGAGAACTGGAATTATGTCCAAAAAAATTATTTGATATTGACTGGACTGAGACCATCAACTTGCTACGAGAGAACTCAGTTTAATCATAGCTGAAACTCAAATGTAGTCCCAGATTTAGTGGTGCTGGCTTGGTGCTCTGACTTGGTGTTGTGCGCTCAGGCTCTGCGAGCTGCTCTACCGCGGAACGCTGGGATAAAAGCTCTAAATGCATTTGATGTTTGAGTTTAGCATTGACCGATATCCCACCAATCGTCAACACGCTTGGTAGTTTTTGCACCGTAATAAAACTAAAAAAAAATATGCTGCAAGTTTGATTCAAGATTTACTCGGTACAGTGAATGTTACACGTGGATTAATAAAGGTGGTGGTTCTGCTGTGTTTTGTTGCCTCTGGTTCTTGCCAACAATGCAAATCTCCTCCGTGTCTGTGGCTGGTACGGACTCCTGAATGCGCCGCTGGCTTCCCCACCGGGCCTCCCCGTCCCTCTGTCCAACTCATCCCTCTGTCCCACTCATCCCTCTGTCCCACTCATCCCTCTGTCCCACTCATCCCTCTGTCCCACTCATCCCTCTGTCCCACTCGAGCCCCTCACCTCATCAGGTGTCCCTCTCTCTCCCTATAATCGCCTGGGCCCCCCACCGAAATGCTTCGTGACCACTTGATTTTGTTGGAGCCAAGTCTCACCTCTTTTTAACAAATCTGGCAATGAACTAAAAGACCACTTAATTTCTCAAATCCCAATCCCCGGACCGGTGGCAACCCTCGTTACATCACCAATGGGAGGCCACGCCTATCCGTTGTGTGATTTTGATCCCGAGCCCGCAAATTGGCGATTGTAAATGCTAAAGCTGTTCAGCAAAGTGGCCAAATTTACCAAAAATGTATTCGGTGAAACTTGCAATTGATTTATTTTCCTCCCCCTTCATTATGTTGACCTCTTATGAACCACATCACATAATCCTCTAAATGATTCTTAATTTCCTGACTGGTAGAGCGGTCGAGTATCGAGAGCCGCTCGCTTTTGAAATTGGGAGTCGTTTCTGTGTCTCCACTGAGACACAGATGGCCACGCCACAGGGCGCTCTTCGCAAGCAGAAGAAACGTCTCAAGCTTAGCTCAGGCCAACTTGATTCTTACAATCTTCCGATGAAATTCCAGTGAGAACATAAAATAAACACCTGGGATATGGACAGCCCAGGCCCAATGGTGGAGACTCCACAATCCCACGATTGAGAAGCCAAAGACTCGGCTATAGTCGCTGTCTTTATCCCGTGGATTGGCGGTGCTGCTGATGGGCCGAGTTTAAAGACACAAAGCGTAGCCGGCTCGTCCTCACGCGGTGTTGTTGTGAAAGAGGGCATGGCTGTAATTAGTGAAGTCCCTGATTACCGGTGTTTTGATGACTTATTAATTATTAATGACTTATTAATTATTATTATTAATGTTGGGCCCTAATTTTGGACCTCAGGGTCAAACAACGCCCCCTAAGAACTTTCTCCTCCCGCCTCTGCAACGTGGCCATCAAGCCAATGTGTACATCGCGAGGCGTTATGAAACAAAGTTGTTCATGTGAGATACGTATCGTCTCTTAAATTAGAACTTCATTTCATAGTTTCATAGTTGCATTTATTTGGTATAGCCCTGTGAGCCATTCGACTCTTAAATCGGGTGCAACCACAACAAACAAAAAAACAAAAACATGAACAAGAAAACATCTTAAAGTGATTATGTGACTGTGCAAACAGAAAATCCAGGAAAAAAACATCAAAATATTCCTGAAAAAGCACCGTACACCAACGCTGTGTGCAAAAATCCCAGTGGGATGCAAGTCAAACAACAACAACCACAAGACAACTGAGATTAAGGCCATCAGTCTAACTCCGTACTTCAACAAACAAAAACATGGCCAAACCAAAAAACTTTTCGAAATCACCAAAATAAAGCCATAATTGCAATGTAACAGTGGTCATAGGGACTGTGACCGAATTTTTAACAATAAACTACATAAATAACATGTAACACCAAACCCTAGAGCCATAGCTGGCTGCATGAGTTACTCCACAACAACAGGAGCATCAGTCAGAGTATCACATTTTCCAATGCACCTTTAAGATCAGCACACTAAATCAAAATACAGATAATACTTTGCAGCGGTCATCCGGAGCGAAACATTTTATTTTATTTTAGGCCACTGAATAGCAGTGGCAGCTAGGGGTGTACAACTCCTCTAGAGCAGTTTTGAGTGAAGATCTCATAGGTAGTTATTCAAGTTGCAGTTTATTGGCAAAAGTATTCCAGACCCTGGGGGCAACTTAATGAAAACCTTGTTTGTAACGTAACAGACGTGCGTGTGTGTGTTACTGTGTGGCACTGAGACGACTGTCGTTCAAATACAAAACCCGTTCAACCTGAGCGTAGGGCGGGGGGCGGGGTAAGTGGGGGAGGGGCGGGGTAAGTGGGGGAGGGGCGGGGTAAGTGGGGGAGGGGTAGGAGGGCAGTGAGCGAGGGGCGGGGGAGGTGAGGGGCGCGGGGAGGGGGAAATTGAGGGGCGGGGCTCGCGCCCATTTGTAGGCGCGGCGCGAGCCGCGGGGGGAAAGTTCCCTCCCCCTCGTCACGTGAGTAACTCGGACCGGAAGCGGAAGTCACGATGAAGCCCCGACGCGCTCGAGCTCGCGCTCGCCCCAGGCTGGTTCCGCTTCCGGGTGGGTCGCCGGGTGGCATGGCGGCGCGCAGCGGTGCGTGCGAGCACGTGTGTGTGTGTGTACACGCGTACGTGACACGTGTGTGTGTGTGTGTGCGCACGCGTACGTGATACGTGTGTGTGTGCGCACGCGTACGTGACACGTGTGTGTGTGCGCACGCGTACGTGACACGTGTGTGTGTGTGCACGCGTACGTGACACGTGTGTGCGTGTACACACGTACGTGACACGTGTGTGTGTGTGTACACACGTACGTGACACGTGTGTGTGTGTGTGTGTACACACGTACGTGACGTGTGTGTGTACACACGTACGTGACGTGTGTGTGTACACGTACGTGACGTGTGTGCGTGTACACGCGTACGTGACACGTGTGTGCGTGTACACGCGTACGTGACACGTGTGTGCGTGTACACGCGTACGTGACACGTGTGCGTGCACACGCGTACGTGACACGTGTGTGCGTGTACACGCGTACGTGACACGTGTGTGCGTGTACACGCGTACGTGACACGTGTGTGCGTGTACACGCGTACGTGACACGTGTGTGCGTGTACACGCGTACGTGACACGTGTGTGCGTGTACACGCGTACGTGACACGTGTGTGCGTGTACACGCGTACGTGACACGTGTGTGCGTGTACACGCGTACGTGACACGTGTGTGTGCGTGTACACGCGTACGTGACACGTGTGTGTGCGTGTACACGCGTACGTGACACGTGTGTGTGCGTGTACACGCGTACGTGACACGTGTGTGTGCGTGTACACGCGTACGTGACACGTGTGTGTGCGTGTACACGCGTACGTGACACGTGTGTGTGCGTGTACACGCGTACGTGACACGTGTGTGTGCGTGTACACGCGTGCGTGTACACGCGTGCGTGACACGTGTGTGTGCGTGTACACGCGTACGTGACACGTGTGTGTGCGTGTACACGCGTACGTGACACACGTGTGTGTGCGTGTACACGCGTACGTGACACACGTGTGTGTGCGTGTACACGCGTACGTGACACGTGTGTGTGTGCGTGTACACGCGTACGTGACACGTGTGTGCGTGCGTGTACACGCGTACGTGACACGTGTGTGCGTGTGTGTACACGCGCGTACGCGACACGCGCGCGTGCGTGTGTGTACACGCGCGTACGCGACACGCGCGTACGCGACACGCGCGTGCGTGCGTACGCGCCTGGGGAGCGGTAGGGTAGCTGTTCAATCGCCCGGTGATGCTGGATGTCATTATCAGCCAAACGTCGGACTTAAATTGTAAATGTTGTGGACTTACTCGCGACTACACCGGTCGGCTGAAGTAACGAATTGGCGCGTTCTGTTTACGTGACAAACCTTCCCGGCTGTGTCGGGTGGTGTAGGGTTACGACTAATTGATATTTACGAGATCCAACCCAAAAACATGTACAGTATTTATGAAGGGTAGCCGTTAGCGCCCTTTGTTACGAGCCCGACATCCCGAGTTCGATTCCCGCTCACTCACGAGCAACACCACTGACGGCTCATCTGATCCGGGACTCCGCACGGTCGACATGGCCTCAAATGAGTACCTGGTGTGATATATACACTTAATACGAGAGAGAGAGTCATCGGCGCCCGTGCGCGGTGCTGGCCACCCAACAACACCTGTGCATTACCGGCCTTCATAGGGGTTCGCTAACAGGGCTTGCCCCTACAGTATGTTAAAGGCTATACGGGGGATCATTGTCTTTGCATGGAGGTGTGTGAGTGCGTCAGGACCAGGCGCTCAAACCAGATGGGCCAGACCTCGGTGCGGTAGTGGATCAACTCGCGCACACGGGAGAGACGGAGCTCCCTGGGTGGGTGCGGTTCTAACCGCGTCGACCCCGCATTGTCCGTTGCGAGCCTAAGTCGCTGCTGCTGCTTTTTAAGGCATCGAAGCGGCTTTGGTGGTGCTTTTGTAAAGTGCCCGACCCGTAATCGGATCCGACAGCGCAGACCTTTTAGCTAAAGTTGCACTTTGATAGCAATTAATTTTAAAGCCACAATTACAATTGTACTTGAACCCAGGTCTGAATTGGAACGTCCCACGTTTAAATCCTGAGGCACCAACTCTGTCATCGTATAATGAGTCGAACACTTTTGTTTTGAAGGCAATAGCGGTTGTCCCATGGTCACGAATTCTCACCTGGTTAAATTAATCTCGGACATGGGGTAATTAAATATATTGACAGAGTTCTATCTAGCCAATGAAAAATAAATGTTTGCTTGCTTATTGGTCTGCAGATTTTTAGTTAAGTTATGGCTGTCATTAATCTGACGACTGCAGCCCGTCATGGCCCATCACGCCCCAATCCCAGCCAGAATCCTGAAGATGCCGTTTTTTGCGATCTGATTTTGGAAGTTGCCATGTCGTCTGGGCTGTGGAAACCGTTGCTGGTGATGATTGCTGGCAGCAATTTATCTTAGATTTGCAGTGGATCCGTGGCCTCAACTGTGTCGATGAGAGGTAATTTTATAAGCGATATTCAGAGATCTCTTGGATCTTCACTTTCATAGGGCATTGTCGAATAGAAAGATTGTTGCACTGCACAGAGATCTAAATAGATACAGTACTTAGTCTCATGACATTGACGGTGATAATAGGGCAAATTAGGAAAATGTGTAACTTTTAAGAGCGGTGAGACACTTGTGTCTACACAAGCTGTGTGGGAGTGTACACACACAGCTTGTGTAAACACAAGCTGTGTGTCTACACAAGCTGTGTGGGAGTGTACACAGCTTGTGTAGACACAAGCTGAGTGTCTACACAAGCTGTGTGGGAGTGTACACAGCTTGTGTAGACACAAGCTGTCTACATAAGCTGTGTGGGAGTGTACACGGGGTTTATTTTAGAACGATGCTTCACGCACTGCACTACGATCCCAGTCACCTCGGATTCCCAATATCATTGCCGGACTTTGTTCTCGCGAACGGCACTTGGCGCTAGCGGGATGTTGCGCGTTCCCGCGTGGGGTGTGATGTTTGGGAAGCGGCGGTGCAGTGGTTGGCAGGCCGTGTTACGAACCCGACAACCAGATTTCGATTCCACTCTGGGCCAACATCGTTGATGAATTTCTGGGCCTTCCCATAGGTTGACTCTGCCTCAAATGAATACCTGGTACGATGTGTAAACATTGCGAATGAAGGGACAAAAGTGGCCGAGCATGCTGCTTGCCACGCAACTCCTTATGCACAGTGTCAGCCTTGAGGTGTGCTGTCCAACAGCACTTGCCCCAGCAGTCTGGTCAAGGCTACGCAATGAGGGGATTGTCGTATGTTGGTGCGTGAACGAGCGCCGCGTGCCGCTGGCGTTGCAGATCTATTGGGCTGGGTGCAGCCCGGGGCGTGCTTGCCCGTGGAGCAGCATGCTTGCCAGCTGCTGCAGCAGCTCAAGGCCATGCTGGACGAGAGACTGCTCACCGACGTGCTGCTCCTCGTCGAGTGTGGCGGCTCCTTCCCCTGCCACCGCAACGTCCTCGCTGCCGTCAGCCCCTACTTCCGGTGAGAAGCGTTGCCGCGCCAGTCGGCTCTTCCCGGTTTTTCCGCGCGGTTCCACGGCCCGGCGGTAGCGCGCTCGCTGCTCCATCGTTGCAAAGGTTCGCGGTTTGAATTCAGCGGCCGCCCAGATTATTACCGCGGCGTTAAGTCTGGTTCTGAAAAGAAAACCGACAGTCGTTTGACATCGTGTGCAGGGGCTAGGGCTGAGGCCACTCTCGTGATCTCCCTTCGTCATTGTGCAGCGGCGTTCGGTTTTTACCAAGGGCCTGTTTATTCTCTTGGGATCAAAGTCGTCACAAGGCCGTCACGGTCAATGCACGGGGCCACCTCGTCAAAGCCACCCACTGCCTTCTACATGCCTCGTGAACCAGAGGCCTGTCCTAGAGTCTTCTACCACCTTTAGCGCTTCTCCTTGTACGCCCGCCGCTGGGTACCACGCAAAACTCTCTCCTGGTAACCTGCGCTCTTGTCTGCGTGAAGCGAGGGGCAGGGTGGTGCTTGTCTCAAGTGGGAAGTTAACAAGTAGTTTGCTGGCCTGCCTGTAACAGATTTGTCAAACGCCCAAACGACGACTCCTGGTAGGTAAGTAAATGTTTATTTTAATTTCCGGTGGTTTTTCTGCAAGCAAGCTGTGCGATGAAACTCGTCACCAAGGCTTTCCCTGCGTCAGTAAAAATTCTGCTTTCTCATTGTAAGGAACTAGTCCATCCTAAGGAGGCGGATGGCTGTCGAGCCATTTAAGAGTTTCCAAATTGTAGTTTTTACCGTAAATGTACCGTTCCTACCGTTTATAAATTCAAAAGACTCGTCTGCCTCCTAACCCTAACCGCCACTCAGGTCGATGTTCACCAATGGGCTGACGGAGAGCTCTCAGCGCGAGGTCTCCATCCTCGGCGTGGAGGTGGAGGCCATGCAGCTGGTGCTGGACTTTGCGTACACGTCGCGTGCCAACCTCACCGAGTCCAACGTGCAGGGAGCCTTCGCGGCCGCCAACCTCTTCCAGATCCCAGGACTGCTCTCGCTCACGGCGGCGTTCATGGCGTCGCGTCTCGACGCGCAGAACGTCGTGGGGGTGTTCGCGTTCGCCGACGCGCACCACCACGCCGAGCTGCGCGCCGCCGCCTGCGGCTTCATCCGCCGCTGGTACCCGGCGGTGGCGCGCGAGCGCGAGTTCGGCGGCCTGAGCCGCGCCCAGCTCGAGGAGCTGCTGTTGAGCGACGACCTCAACGTGGAGCGCGAGGAGCAGGTCTACGAGAGCGTCGTGGCGTGGGCCGGGCGCGACCCCGACCGCCTGCCCGAGCTGCCCGGCGTGTTCGCGCGCTGCCTGCGCCTCTCGCTCATGGACGCCGAGTACGTCCGCGCGCTGCCCGCGGCGCTGTCCCGCGCGCTGCGCCCGGACGGAGCCGCTGCTTCCGCAGACGCCAACCCCGAGGCCCAGGCAAGCCGGCCGCGGCTCGGAATGACCGCCACGGAGATGGTGATCTGCTTCGAGGCGGCGCACAAGCATTCCGCGCGCAAGCGCACGGTGATCTGCCTCGACCCGGCGACGCACGACGTCTACCGCCTGAGCCGGCTACCGGGCGACCTGCGTGAGGCCGGCCTCCTCGTCACGCCCGACAACGACCTGCTGGTGGCCGGCGGCTACCGGCCGGGCTCCAACGAGGCGGCCGTGGACCACCGCGCCGAGGCAGAGTGCTGGCGCTACGAGCACTCGAGCGACCAGTGGCGCGTCTGCGGCACGCTCGTGCGCGCGCGCATCCGCTGCCAGCTGGCGCACTGCCGGGGGGCGACGTACGCCGTGGGGGGCCACGTGTACGAGGGCGACGGCCGCAACGCGCTCAAGTCCGTCGAGCGCTACTCGGAACGCGACGAGGTGTGGACCTCGGTGAGCCCCATGCCGGTCGCCATGGAGTACCACAGCGCGGCCGCGGCACTGGGCAGGATCTACGTGTTGCAGGGTGGGCACGCACAGGCACGCACAGGCACGCACAGGCACGCACAGGCACGCACAGGCACGCACAGGCACGCACAGGCACGCACAGGCACGCACTCGCCGACGCGCACGTGCATACGGATGACGCGTGCGAGACGCGCACGTATGTTCACACGCACACAGCGCGGGTGGAACGAAACCTTGAGAGAGAGAGAGAGAGAACGTGAACCGGCCGCCGTGTGTCCCTCGTGCAGGCGACGTGTTCCTGGCCTACCAGGCGGAGCACGACCACTGGGAGTACCTGACGCCCATGACGGTACCGCGGCTGCAGAGCCACGCGCTCGTGTGCGGCGACTGGCTCTACTGCGTGGGCGGCGCCCTCTCCTCGGCCGCAGCCGCCGCGGCGGCGGCGGCCGCGGCGGCCGGCGGCGGCGACGGCGGCGGCGACGACGCGGGGGGGCCTTGCGAGGGCAGCCGTCGGCGCACGCTGACGGTGGAACGCTACTCGCTGCGCTACAACGTGTGGGAGCGGCGCTCGGAGCTGCCCCTGGACCCCGGCGCGAGCCCCTACGCGCGGCCCGTGGCGCTGGGCGGGCGCCTCCACATGTTCGTGCGGCAGACGCAGGTGCTGCTGGAGGAGCTGGTGTTCAGCATGTGCCGCCGGTACTCGCTGTACGCCAACGAGGGCGAGGCCGACACGTGGCGCGAGGTGTACACGGCGCCCGAAAGACTCTGGGACCTGGGGCGCCACTTTGAGTGCGTCGCCGCCAAGATGTACCCGCAGTGCCTGCACAAGGTGCTGTGATGGGGGGGGGGGGGTGCTCGAGGATGAGGTGAGGGCACAGCGGGAGGTCCCAGAATGCGTAGGAACTTTCCACCAATAACTGCAGAGTTTTATTTTATTTAAATATCAACACACCGTCATTTCACTGAAGTGCAGCGGTCGAACGTCGCCAATAAATCTCTCCGATTTCGTGGCCACAAGACACCGTCTCCATTGCGAGGCTTTGATTAGATTTTCCTCATCACGAAGACTTCCAAATTGGTGTTGGGCCGGACGGCACGCGCAGCCTGGGTGGGTGTAGCTACCATGCGTGTTTGCGTGACGGATCTTGTCTTAACGGAAGGTGCAATCGGGAACCAGCGCTCTTGTTTCCTCCACTGTGTTACCACCACTCTCAAGCTCCGTTTGATGGGACTGCCAGAACCACTTTCTGCCATTTACGCAGTCCCTGAACGTCCACTTTTTTATGAATATCACTCGGACGTGTTGCGAGCGCAAGTTGAATGCGCCTCTATGATACTGATGGTCGTAGCAGCGCCTACAAAATTCTGTGTCCCTCGTGCGTGTGTGCTGTGCGCGAAAGTGCTGGGCGTACAGCTCTGAGCACTGCTGCTGTATTTCTCATCTCTCGAAAGGGGAGGGCCCCGCCCCCCCGCCCCACCCCCCGCACCCCAGGGCTGGGATTGTTACCGGTGCTGCGATCTGCACAAATGTGAACACTTGGAGGCTCGCTTGGGGAAAATGCGTATTTTTGTCAAAATGTGATCTGCTGCTCGGAGGCCGCTTACTGAATTGCCCCCCACCTCTAGTCGTTGGCCCCTTGCAGGTTGGGCTTTGTCGTTGATGCCCCCCTGGTTTAAACGTTGTCTTTTTTATGATGCTTTCTCTCCACGGCCATTCTCTGTGAACACCGTCGGAGCTCTTGACTCTTTTAAACTGGGCATTCGCTTTTATTTTTGATTCTCACGCGGCCACGTCCCGCAAGCTCCTGGACGTGGCAACGGCGTTCCGGAGACGCTCGTGTGTGCCGCGTACGGCGAGGCGCTGGCTCGGTTATCGGTGGCGCGTGTACCACGGCCCACGTGCGACCTACATATCGCTGGCATTGCAGGATTACTGGGATATCGCCAACTGTTGAAGGACCACACGGATCTCGCTAAATGTTACACGTCCCGCACCAGCGAAGTTTTCACCTTGTTGGTGTTACCAAGACGCCGCTTCAAGCGCCATGGCGGCACCACGACCATGGCCATGGCGGCACCACGACCATGGCCATGGCGGCGCCACGACCATGGCGGCACCACGACCATGGCGGCACCACGGCCATCGCCATGGCGGCGCCACGGCCATCGCCATGGCGGCGCCACGGCCATCGCCATGGCGGCGCCACGGCCATCGCCTTCGCCCGAGGATTTGCTCCGTTACGGCTCGACCACCAAACTCTGGGAACGCGGCGCTACTGCTTGATGCCTTCACTGTTCACTGCATAACTTGAAACTACAAGAGGCTGCTGATGTGTTTTTATATTGGGCATCCTCTGGGGTATGTGTTAATTTGCCCGTGTTGCTGGTGTTGTGTGAGCGAATTGTGCTTGTTAGTGTGCGGTGGGGAGGAGGTGATGGTGCAATTCGACCTCGTTCGGTGACTCCGGAGCGCAGCTCCCATGTCCTGGGGTCCGTGGTGAAGGCCATAGCAGAAATTGCTCCCCATGTTTAAAACCGTGAGGTGGAGGGCTTGATGTCCACGGTCATCGTGGCCAATTGCGTTGATGCCACCACAACCTGCCAACGCTTCCGCCATCTCGCTCGGCTAGGCTATTGCAGCCCCCCCCCCCCCCCCCCTCAGAACGCCCCACTCCGGTCTCCCAGCGTCTGCCTGTGGCTTCTTCCCTTTGGGCCACCTCTCCGGTACCTGTCTCTGTAACTGCTCTCCCGCCGTGCTGCACGAAAATAGACCCACCAACTCGTCCGGCCTCGTTTACAAACCCAAGGGTCGTCTTTTGAAATCCGTGAATGGAAATTTGTAGTGGTGCGATTGTGCCACACTTGCACGCGTGCATAAAGGATGTGGCAAACATTTTTAACATTTCCCCTCCACCCAACAAATGACTTCTTGTAGCATACGAGCGCTCAAGGCGGAGGTGTGGATGGTTGGTGGCCGTGTCCGCGTGTCCGCTGCTGCTTCCCTGCTCTCTCTTTGACTCAGGACTCCTCTTGTTTTCTTGGGGGAAGAGTCGAGTCATGCAGATGGGACACCTCTCATGCAACAAAATAAGTGTCTGGGTTTTAAAATGTTTGTGTTGCCTTTTATGACTTTGAGAGTTGCAAATAAAGTTTCAAAAAAAGTTCTGGTTTCATGAAGCAATTTTCTCTAGACTGTAATACAGAATTAAACCAAGGCCTCTCTGCATCTTTGTTTTAAAGGTAAACAACTTGACCACCAGAGGCTCTCGTGGGAGCACTTTGCCCAAATTGAGCCTCTTGCATTGTTTCTCAAACTGGTTTTGTCTCGCGGACCACCCAGCCACCCACCCACCCCTTGGTGACGACGCATTCACGCCTCTCGAAATACCACGCCTACTCATTCAATCGTACATACAACTTTTTTTACGCAGCTTTAAAGTTGTTTTATGAGCGGCATTTAGATCTTGGTCATGATAGTTTAATTAGGGTAGTTTACGTAACAAGTAAAATATTAACGTCCAAACCTAAAAGCTATGAAGATTGTCATTGGTTCTAGATCGGCCATCAACACCTGGCAGGACCGTCGCGGGCCAGCGGTGGTTCGGGCACTGCACCTTGAGAACCACCGCGCTCTGGTGACGCCCTTCAATGTCCATCAGACGAGCATTCTGCACGGCGAGTGTGCGCGTTGTGCAATGGGCGAGCAGACCAGATGGTCAACCACTGGCCTGCGCTCTTTCAGTGGAGAAGCAGCAACGCAACACGAACTCTGCTGAAGCCCTCTCGTCGTGGCCAGCAAACCTCGACATTGGCATCGAGCTCCTGCACACATTGCCGCTGCCATATTACACAAGAATATGATGGGTGGAAAGGGATATTGGGATGGGTTTGTAATAGAAACGCTCGCCACCCACCTTGTAGATTGAAGAGGACGGCTTTTCATAATTTACGTTCAGCTCTGTTGTTGGAGAGCTGTGGTGAGCGTGTTGGACTCACGGACGAGCAGACCCAACGTAGCAGCTGTGCCACTCTGCTGCGTCGTGCAGTGGCTTTGACACCGCGGATCAACTCGGTTCACATGCCGGTCAGGAGCCGATGACACCCATCGTCCTTCAGGGGTCGATACAACGCCAGCGCCGCTTGGTGGCATTGCAACTTTGGCCACCGACAGAGCAGAGCGCCGCTTGGGGCTGCCGAGTGCTCCAAGCGAGGAGGATGGCGGGAGGGGGGCGCCGCGGGAAGTGGCCGCACGTCTCCATTGGCCGGCCGTGCGCGTCGCCTCGGCGTTTCGTCAAAGCGGCATCTGCTCGCAATATCGTCAGTGGCCCAGACAATCGTGGTTACTGTGACGGGTAAACGGATCCCCTGCGGCTGCAGCACGCGGTCGTACGTTCGGTAGGGTCGTACGGGCCGCTTGAACTCTGCACGTGGACGCTGTGCAGGGCTGGGGGCTCGGAATCCCCCAGCAGCTGTGGCCAGCTCGTGGCTTGTGGGATCGCCCCGGCGTTCCTGGTTGCGTGCAACTTCGTTCCTGGTTGCGTGTTGGTGTCGCTGCGACGCGGCCAGAGCATCAATCAACTCGCAGTCGGAAGTCGCGAGCTCAAATCCCAGTCGACTTGACGCAGCACATCATAACTCGAGATAAAAAAAAAATTAAGTACCAATTTATGGGAAGGCAACGTGGTTGTCCCATGCAGTGACCGACCCAATGCACCATGAGTTGGAGTTCACAGCGCCGTGCGGCGTTCTTCAAAGCCGGCGAGAGAGGCTGGAGCCAAGGGAGTGATGCTGCTGCTACTCCTCATGGAGCCGAGTTAATTCCCTTGCCGTGTGCTCTGTATTCACTGCTTCAGTTTGGTGGATCATCAGAAGCTGATGTTTATAATGGCGCTCCTATCGTGTTACTCTGTTCTGTGTAGTAACCTCGGTTCATTAGCGAGTGTCTCCCAGGGGAGGTCGCGTCGGGTGAGAGGATCGGCTCATAAGCCACGCGATCAGCAGTCTCCCTGCCAACGCCGAGGCATTAGGCCGCTTCGTCTCCACGTGAATCTCACCCTAAGCAACATATTTGTTAAAGTTGGCATAATATTTGTTACTGTTACGCGTTAAAGACGGCGCTGTCATCGACACTGATTCACGAATCCCTCGTTGAGTTTGTTTGAATTTGAGGAGAGGTTTCCCCCTTTTTGTCTGGCAACAAAACAGGCGTTGAGATTCATATTCTTGGTTCTTTCGGTAAAGTCACCACGTAGAAGGGAAACAATAAAATAATAAAAAATATAAAACAATACAATTCTCACGACGTTTCGACTGCAAAACAAGCAATCATCATCATGACGTTTTATTTTTATTATTTTATTATTTCCCTTCTACGTGACTACCGAAATAACCAAGAAGATAGCTACTGATAGTTACCATAGACACTCACTGAAGATGAATGCAGATACATTACAACCTCGGCACAATACATTTTTGAAGTGGTCAGGGAATTAACGTCTCCGTGGTCGGGTGGGGTCACGCGAGGCCCGCACGGGACACGCCGTGACCTCGGCTTGGGGTCACGGGGACGTGGCGTGACCCCGTGGGTGCAGGCGTGTTCCGAGCGAGTCGCACGGGACCGCGACGTCTGGTCCCAGCGAGTTCTGTGGAACGCGCGCGCGATTCCGTCTCAGCGGACCACGCTGGTGGGCGTTGGTCAGTACGAGTTTGCAGTCGGAGCAGACAGACCGATCCGACCCCGGAGCCATTTATAGCACGGCCCATTATCCGCACGAGACTGTAAAGGGACATTGTTGCGTCACGTTAAGTGGAGGCTACCTTCAAGGTGCTGAGTAAGAGTTGCAAGGGTGGCCTGGGAAGGGAGTACCACTTCGTGGACATTCCAGAGTTGTCGTTCTTTGGATAGACTGTCTCTCGCCATGGGAATGTGTAATTTCCACCTGCGGCTGAAGGTGTTCTGTGGAGACGCGATGGCGTGGAAGAGGCGGGGTGTCGAGTGGGGGGGGGGCTAGGGGTGGGAGGGTGGGTCACGTTTCGGTGCCGCTGCTTGCCCACTGCCGCCAGTCGAGTGCAGGGGGAGGGTGGTTCGCGTGACAGGCGACCCACGTGGCCCGCATTCCTCCTCTTGTGTGGGCCGGGGCACAAGATGTGATTTGATTAGGAGCACGTGAGAGCGCGTGCAAGTGACTCTGCACACGGGCGTGCACGCACGACCTCGACGTATTTATATTCGTGAGTTTTTAAAGCACAAAAAAAGTTTGGCTGGCTGGCCGGAGGGAGGGACGGTTCCATATTGTTCTACTCCGCGTATTTATCCAGGAAAGCTTCACCGAGTCTCAAAACCCTCATGAGGGTCACGCCAAGTTTTCGCAGTCCGGGGCGATGTTGCTGCTGCTGTGTGTGTGATCTCAGTTGAGTCACTGGCAGTGCAATTGTTCAGCATTGGGGTTGTGTTTGACCAACGCCAAGTACACCGTGTGTGAGTTGGGTTTTTTGCAATGGAAGAACGCCGGAGGAAGCCCGTGCAGAGCAGCAGGAGAGAGAAGACACAAACTCCACACAGAAGACGCACTGAGTCGAGAATCGAACTCAGGACTTATTGCTGAGAGGCACGAGCGTTTGCCATTGGGCCACGCTGCTCTGAGTGTTTGCAATCACAGTGCCCGGAGTCTATCCACACAGCCAGCTGCATTACGACACCAATGTGCTCGAGAACGCAACACGAAGACGATTCGAGTTCCAATCGCGCTCCTATCTCGATCCGAGATCTGAGCTCCGTGTGATCGCCCAGCTGCCCGCCCGCCCCCGCGTTACCAAACGACACGTGCTGAGCGGGTTGAAGGCAGCTTGGGTTATTTGGGGTTACTCTGGGACTGGGAGACCACCGGGCGGTGAGGGAGGGAGTGTGGGTTGGGTGGTTGGGTGCAAGATAGTGGGGTGATGTGCGTGCGGTTGTGTGGGTGGGGGGACCTCAGTGTCAGTCGCGTACAACGAGCGATGTTTGATGCAACAACGTGCGGCCAGCTCCATCGCCCGCAATGTTGAATGAGTTCAGTCTCCAACCCCTCCTCCTATTCGCTCTTCCTCACTGTCTCTGGCTTCTCTCTCTGTGCTGCAGAGAAGGGCCGTCGCCCGATACGTCGCCAATTTGGTTTCTGTTTAAGGCCGCACGGAGTGTTCTGTTTCGTGGCGCACGCCCCGTCACCGAGCACTGTGGTGGCAGCAGCGAGGGTTGGTAGATCACCGCACTGATGTTTTACAACTTCCGTCCCGTGTGCGTCGAGGAGGTGCCGTGCCCTGGCTCTGCTGGGAGAAGGCGGTGCAGCAACCATGTGGACTCCACGAGTTCCGTCTGCATGTGGTAGAGTGTTTCCCCTGCCACGCGTGGGTTTTATACGGGTGCTCCGGTTTCCTCCCGTGAATTAACGCTCACTAATTGGGCGATAACACCTTAACACTCAGAGGACCGCAGAGCTTGGCAAATTGTTGGAGCCGGCTCACCGCGTGGCTGCTGCTGCTGCCTTCCTGGTGTCGTGTTCCTCCTCCTCGTGCCTCTGAGGAGTTTCCTCTCGACGAGAGCGAGTGGCCGCTGTGCGGCGGCGCGTTGCAAGTTGACATCATTATAATATTATTATTGTAATATTATATTATTGACATAATATTATATTATTGACATGATATTATAATAATATATTCTTGACGAACGTGTTGAGTTTGAATCTGGACTTAAAGCTTTCGTGACTGCAGGAATACATATTCTATGGGTCTTTTATATTTTTTGCTACGTGGCTTTACCTAAAGACTCATTGGTTTCATTTGCTTAATGTTACAGCGCTGTTTGAGTTTCAATCCGCCGGCGGCTCTGTGCTGAGAGCTCTCGACTGACAATGTGAGAGATCCGAGTTCGAGTCTCACCCTGGGTTCGACAGAGCCCGTTATGCTCTCGAGGGTTCCAAACCGAGCACCGCTGCTGCGTGGTGAGAGTCGAATTGAAAACGTGACCGCTGTTCTCATGGCCCCCTGTGGACATGCGTAACGAGACGCGGTGCCTTCTCCTCCTCCTCTTCCTACTCCTCCTCCTATAGTGGCTGTGGTGCCGCTTGAGCAGCTGTCAGATTTGGTGGTGATCTGTACTCCCACTACTGCGGGCGGTCATGCTGCC